TTCATGGTGAAGCTGATGAAAACGAACCTACTGTGCTGCCATTTTAAAAATAGAAAAAAGCTTATAGAATAAGGATATTAAGAAAAAATATTTTTGTACAACTGTATGATATGTTTATATTTCAAGCCAAGTGTTATTGCAAAAGAATCAAAAAAATTTTAAAAATTAAAAAGTTTATGAAGCAAAAAAGTTATAGTAAGCTAAGGTTAATTTATTACTGAAGAAATAGACTTTTTTTTAGAAATTTAGTGCAGTCTAAGTGTACAGTGTTTATAAAGTCTACAGTAGCAGACAGTAACGACCTAGACCTTCATGTTCACTCACCACTCACTCACTGTCTCACCCAGAGCAACTTCCAGTCCTTCAAGCTCCACTCATGGTAAGTGTCTTTTACAGTTGTGCTATTTTTTATCTTTTATACTGAATTTTTACTGTACCTTTTCTATGTTTAGATACACAAATACCATTATGTTACAATTGCCTATAGTATTCAGTACAGTAACATGCTGTACAGGTTTGCAGCCTAAGAGCAATGGGCTATATCATATAGCCTAGGTGTGTAGTAGGCTATACCATCTAGGTTTCTGTAAGTGCATTCTATGATGTTCGTACAATGAAATCACCTAATGATGCATTTGTCAGATGTATCCCCATTGTTAAGCGACAAGTGACTGTATTGTATTCTTGTCCGTGAATATGATATATCTGTTTATATAGATCTTCTTCATAATTCTTTTGTGTACAGATCTTACTCCTAGACATAAATGTGACATTCTCTTACTCTATTGTAAATGATGTCTTAGTTACGTTTATAGATGTTTGTGGATGACATATAGAAATGCAACTGACTTTTGTATATTAATCTTATTTTCAACTACCTTGCTAAACTCTATTATTTCTAATAATTTATAGAAACAATATTTAATTTATATTTTGGGGGGAAGGTTCTATGCAAAGATCATATTAGCTGTAAATAAGTTTTATTTCCTTCTTTCCAAACCTTTTACTTCTATAATTTATTTTTGTTGTAAAGTGCTTATGGAACTTTTAAGAAAATATTGAGTAGAAGTGGTGCTAGTGAACATCCTTCTCCAGTTCCTAATTTTTTTTAAACTAGGCAAAGACTTTGTTCACCTTTATTTATTTATTTATTTATTCTGTCTTTTTTCGTGTCCGGCAACGGATCGCAACCCTCAGTGTCGTGCCCGTACCGGACCGGGACCTGCAACGGGATTGCGACCCTCGGTGTCGCGCCCGCACCTCGCTCAGCCAGTGAGCGGGAACCGGTCTGCATGTGGGATCCGAATCCTCGGCGGGAGCGCCATCGCGCTCCCAAGTGGCGCACTGTAGCAGTGCGCCACCGGGCCGGCCCCTGTTCACCTTTATTTTAAATTTTATTTTCTGTCTTCTTTGGCTTAATTAACTGCAAACAAACAATTGTATATAAGCAACAATTAAAAAGCAGCATTGTCTAAGGGCCTTGAAATTTAAAATATTACAGATCTATATGTCATCATATCCTAAACAAAATTTTAAAAGCAGTAAAAGTTCTTGAAATTTTATTATTTTTTAAGAATTTGAATCAATTCAATTTAGCCTCATTGTTGGAAGCCTCATCAAAATTCTGAACAAGTTCACCCTCCTCCTCACAGTTGTAAGCGGTGCTTTTCCACCCAGCTTCTGCCAGTGTCCTTAAGCCTGTTGACACCGAGCTGGTTTAAGATGCCAGGTGGCACTTCTGTTAGCCGCTTTGTCTCAACATGGCTGGTAATGGTGAACGTGTTTACTGCCAGAGATGTATGAACACTGGTATTGTGAAAGTGAATCACCATTCTCTGGTTTGCAAACATACCTACCTCTTTTAACATGAGAGATATTGCTCATTCCTAATTTCTTTAAGGAGAACTGAAGATTTTTATCATTTGTTATAACAGATATCATTTATTATGTCATCTGGGGGTAGTTCCTTTTTACCAATGCACAATTGTACCTGAAGTTTGGCAAGTTTCTCTTGGCTTATGATGGGCTCTTTCATTTTGTTGGGAGTGTAAATGAGGCTTCATGAGAGACTGGGTTGGCACTCAAGAGGTCTCAGGCAAACCAGCTGAGAGTCCAGTTTCTCATTTTAAATGGAAAGCTTCTAACATTCAACCACTCATAATAATATTTCTTCTAGTTTTTTAAAAAATTAAAATTAAGGAGGTCCCCTACTGTTCCTAACTTACTAATCTTTTAAAACAATCATGAATAGGTATTGAATTTTAGCAAATTCTCTATTGAGGTTATTCTCTGTTAAAGTATTTAGTTAACTACATGTATTTTCTAATATGAAACTATCCTAGCATACCCAGAATAAACTCAGCATGGACACATATATTATCTCTTTTATAACAATTAATTTTGATTTGCTAATATTTTATTGAAAATTTTTACAAGTATATCCTTGAGTGAAATGGATCTATAATTTCTGTTATGTTTTTGTTGTCCAGGTCATGCTGGCCTCAAAGAATGAGTAAGAGAGAATTCCCATCAGTTTGGCCTTAATAAACAAATGGAATTATGAATAGCCTCTGGGAACCTAACCTATTACATAAGTTGAAGAACCTCAGAATTGTTTAGGTTTTCTAACTAACCCTGGTCCTCGAATTTAAAAATATAGATTTTTATGTCCCATCAAAGATTTCGGACTTTTAGCAAGCACCTCAAATGATTCTGATAAAGCTGATCTATTGAGTGTGCTTTGAAAACCACCACCCTGGTAGGGAGAGTTCCTGGCTTTCATCTGCTCTCACAGCAGTCAGAGAAAGAGCTGATGAGCGCCTCCGCGCTTCCCAAGCGGCGCACTAGCACAGTGCGCCACTGGGCCAGCCCCATGGTGGAGCTTCTAGTGAAAGAGTTGAAAACTAAATGCCATGCTTCCCCTCAGCATCTTTTAGTAGTATGATCATGGTTTGTCCAGGACAGTCCTGGTTTGTGCCCACTGTTAGCAGAATGAATAATAGTTTCCCTTTTCATTTTAAAAAATGTCCCAATTTGGTCGCTCAGCCAGTGAGCGGGAACCGGTCTGTATGTGGGATCAGAACCCTCGGCGGGAGCGCCTCTGCGCTTCCCAAGCGGCGCACTAGCACAGTGCGCACTTAGCCCTCCTTTTGAAGCCTTCAGGTTATAAACTCTTTTTTTTTTTTTTTTATGGTAGGATAGGCCTGAGACTGCCTCAAGCTTGTCTGAACTCTTCTCCTCTACTTCAATCCCCTCCCTAAGCTCTAAACACTACGGGAAATCCAGAGTTTGAGAAATTACGAAATGGGGAAAAATTTATGCTTGAACCTGGGCTTAATATCCTTGCATTTCATACTATTCAGTTCACCAGGAGCAAAATCTATACCAGAATTTGGGCCAAAGCACTAGCTATTAATATTAATAGTACAAAAATTGATTTTGCCTGTAAAAGCCCATTATAGCCCTGGTGAGCTATAAGGATCTAGAGTTTGAACCACAGAAAGAGAAAACAAAACAAAAGAAAATGCTTCCTATCACAACTAATACATAATAATAAAACATAATAAATCTTAGATGTTATTCTTCCAATCTACTCAGGTCTAAGATAGGCCTCATGTTTTGATAATTGGAAATGTGCTAAATGAGGAATAAATGTTGCCTGAGAGGAACTAGTGATATGAAATGTCTAAGTTATAATTTCGTTTTTTCATGATTCTTTTCCTGAAGACAAGGTTTCTATCTTCATTCCAACCAAAGTTCATCACAAGCCTATTTATTCTCAGAAGTCCAATTTATACACTAAATATTCTATCCTATCTTCCAAAGATAGCTTTAAAGGGCATTCAAGAATGTTATTTAAAAAAAAATTGTATAGAAATATAAAAACTAGGCTTTTAAACTCTCATATTAACAATATAAAAATAAGATACACTGGCAGGATCTATGCATGAAAACTTATTTCACTCATATATAAATTATAAGTTTCTGGAATAAACCTGAACATTAGAGATATCGAACCTTTTCTTCAGTTCCAACACTCCTACCATAATTTTCACTTCATTCTTTGCAATTATGTTCTTACTTTTCCTTTCTTTACAATTCCATTATACATACCACTGTTACCTCATCACCACCATCACGACAATAACAGCCATTTTTGGAGTGCTCACTATCTGCCAGGTGCTGCTAGGAGAGTTGTATGTGAATTAACTCATTCTATCCTCATAACAATCTTTTGAGAAAAGTAATATTACCCCCAACTACATAGACGAGGACAGTGAAACACAGAGAAGGTAAGCTAATAAGTGGCAGCACTGGCATTTGAACCAAGCAGTCGTCTTAACCATTCATTACAGTTGTCTTACAAATCACCTCACACACCTTCAAAAATGTGCTACCTGGTTACATGACCTCATCTCTCTTCTTTTTGAAATTCACCCAGCATAAAGAGACTAGATGATCTCTATCATTAAAACATTCCCCTGTTCAATGATCTAGTTTACCTAAAATTAGTTACAAAATACAATCAAAGGTATGCAGTCCAGGTGTCCAAGATTTTCTTCATTCTGTACCCATCCTCCTTTCTGGCCTCATTCTTCACCTAGCCTATCACATGAACACTAAACTAGAGGTGGTCTGGACTAGATTCTTACCCACTCATAGGGCCTTATACAATGCCTAGAACATAAAAGATGTCAAAAATGTTTGCTAGATTAATAATCAAAAAGCCTTTATGGTTTTTCTGATAACTAGCTATAGGTTGTTATTATGACAGGGTTCATGGTGCTCACAAGGAAATTTCCTTTCTACTTCCTTTTATAATAGTAAGACAATGTTGTTTAAAAATTCAAAAACTCACTCATGACAAAATAAGGCAATTTAGAACAATTAAATCAGTTGTTTTTCTCTTTAGCAAAATATTAGCAACTGGTGGTTATAACTAACAGTATAATTAAAGAAAGAAAACTGTTCTTAATATTGTCAAAAATTTTATTACTAACCTGTTGAGGAGTAATGGTATCTCTATAACTTGGTAAGATTTTTAGGGTGACACTTCCACTAATATTTTTCAGTAATTCTTGTAATTCCTTTGGATTGTTTCCAACCTCATGGCCATTGACTTCTTTAATGATATCTCCCACATGAAGCAGACCTTGTCGATCTATCATTCCTCCATGAAGGATTCGGGCGATTACCAAATCATTATTTTCAACTCTAAATGTTACACCCTAAAGGAAATAAGAAACAGAATTATTATTTATTTTATTTTATTATGGAGAAATACCTAACTATTCAAGAATATATATAAGAAAATAATTCTAAAACTAGGTAAATGAATTGTTCTTACTTTCTCCATGTTGTCTCCTAACTGTCAATATTTCAACCCCATTAGATTGTGTACATATGTGACAATAAAAACACTCCATAAAAACAGACTTCCATGCTAAAAATGAAACATATACTAGTATCTAGGCTGTATTCCACAGGATAAAAGGAAGGTCAAGGGAATAAGAAAAGTTACTTGTGCATTCTGATGAACTTATTGTTGCCTTTTCATTTTGTCCATCACTTTTCTTATAGTCAGGATCCAGAAATAATAATTTTAGCAGGAAATAGTAACCTTTACTATTTATATAGCCCCACTATGGCTGCGATTTTTAATAGGAACTTTCTTCTGTGTTTTGATACTGTCATTAGTAAGCAACCTGAGTTCATTTCTTCAAGGGTAGGAAGAAATGGAGTAGTTATCTTCTGGAATTTTTGCTACCTGTTGGCATACTTGTAGCTTCTACTTTAGTTTAACTTTTCATTTTAGTTTAATTTTGTAGGTTAAATCAAGCTGAGAGAGCATCAGCTGTGTATTTACACATAGGTCAAAAAAGATTGATAAAACAAGCAAATATAGTTTTCATAATACATTATGGACAGGAAAAAAAAGAGTGACTGAACCACAAATTATGTCAAATTTCAGACTTAAGAAGGCACTGATCTTTCTACTCACCAATGGTTCCCCAGCTCTTTTGTGAATTCCAAGAATACGAATGGCATCTACTGGTAATAACTGATTATTGATAGAAGAATTATTCATTTCTGGGCTTGATGGAGGTGAATCATAACACTTTGATGCCACAATATCATGGGCCTCCAAGAGTGACTATAAGGAGGAATCGAAACAGCCTGTGGTTATTAGCCACTGATGGAATAAGTTGCTAAAAATAATTAGTTAGTTCTTTATTCCAACAGAGTACTAAGAGTTTCCAAGGCACACATTATTAAATTCTCAAAGATGAGTTAAACCAACTATATATAGAATCTGTTTAAGAAATATAAAAATAATAATAATTTTTATTAATAATAAAATAATATGATATTCCTTGTTTTATATTTAAAGAGACAGACAGAGTTCGGTGACATATTTTTAAAGTGGCCTATTCACTGGAAACTGAATCTAGGTTTCCAAGTCTGGTGCAATGAAGGCACTGGATTTCATTGCCACCACTGTCATCATCATCATTCGATATTTATCATCAATCTCTATTTATCAGATATCATAAAAACTAAAATGACAGGGACCCTAATTTTTACCCTAATATTGCTATGTCAATAACACAATATACTTTTTACATGTATAAAATGTCTGTTAAAAAGATGTCCAATAGAAAATGGATAAATATCTGCATCTTATATTGGAGATAGGAAATTTTATATTACTAGTAAAGTTTTTAGTTTATAAAAGATACATTTTTTTGTGGAAGAAAATAAGTCTGTAATGGCCTTCTTCAGGACTATAACAAAAAATGTTTTTATTATGTTTTTTGGTAGATGGAATGCCAGTTCAAAAACAGTAAATCAAAATAGAAAGAAGGATGGGCCGGCCCGGTGGCGCACTGCTACAGTGCGCCGCTTGGGAGCACGGTGGCGCTCCCGCCGAGGGTTCGGATCCCACATACAGACTGGCCGCTCACTGGCTGAGCGAGGTGCGGGCGCAACACCGAGGGTTGCGATCCCGTTGCCGGTCACGAAAAAAGACAAAAAGGAAAAAAAAAAATAGAAAGAAGGAAGTAAATATCAACAGGTTCAGAACAGAAGCAATCAGAATATTGGCTTAATTGGTAATTTCTGATCATTTCATAAAACAATTTGTAAGAGACTAGAGAAAAAATTCAAAAAGAAATAGAAACCCACAAAGTCATACGTAAGGATTCTTCCTATAAATTCTGGAAGTTATGGGCTGGCCCATGACTCACTTGGGAGAGTGTAGTGCTGATAACACCAAGGCCATGGGTTCAGATCCCTATATAGGGATGGCCAGTTAGCTCACTTGGGAGAGTGTGGTGCTGACAACACCAAGTCAAGGGTTAAGATCCCCTTACCGGTCATCTTTTAAAAAATAAATAAAATAAATAAATAATAAATAAATAAAAAATAAATTCTGGAAGTTATTCAAAGCTCTAATCTGGGCTGCTTAGTTTTCTTGGGCAGTATTACTACCCCCATGACTTGAACCACTGCTTACATACTGATGACTCCCAATTTGACATCTCCAGTCCAGAACTCACATGTGCTGCAGATTCATATACTCAAAATCTGCCCACAAAATCTGGACAAAGTCATGGCAATTTGAAAATCAAAAAGAGCAAGGATTGTAGAGGACTGAAACACTGAATTGATGAAAACTTCATAGGCCCACAACACTATTTAAAAACAGAAGGACCAAAAAAACTCATTTGAAACTGCTATCTTAAACAACTCTTTACTTTAAAAAGTGATAAAGGGAAGGATCAAGCATGTTCCTGCCTTTTCAGTAAGAAATGCATTATAAGATAAATAACTAGCCCAGCTAATAAATGTAGAGTCAGCGAATTTGAAAAATGTCGTTTTGCGACCTCTCATGAAAATATTGACTTAGTTAAGGATTATTTATTTGTGTTCATCAGTAAGTAAATAAGAAATAGAATTTGTATAACGTTAGACTAATAACACAGTAGAGATTACTTCCTAGTGGAGAAGATTTCAAAGAAAGGATTACACCATCATCGCTTTTAATCAAGGGACCAATCTCAGTACCCGTAGTGGTTGGCTCACCAGGTATTATACATCTTCCGATGTAGTTTAATGCATGTAGCATCACATCACTTAAGATGCATTCTAGCTCCAAATAATTAACTTGAAATATCAACATTCTAGACAGGACTTCTGTTTACAGTGGGGAAGCAACCAGACAAATCGAGGGAGTGGAACATTCTCCAGGACGATAGTGTGGTCTCTTCAATAGGTCAATGTCATAATCAAGAGGGAAAGGGGCGGTTTAACAAGATGCCACACATGGACCTAGGTTGGAAACCTGCATGTACAAACCAGCTTTCAACAATATTTTGGTGTCAAATGGAAAGGTCTGAATATGTATGTATATTACACGAGACAGAAGTTCATTGAAATTAAAAAGTAGAAATCAATAATTTAAAAAAAGGAGAGACTTCCAGTCAAGATGGCGGAATAGACAGTTCCCAGTGTCACTCTCTCCGACAAATCAACCGATTTACAACTATAAAAATGTAACAACAGCCAAGCTGGGGCCGCTGGAACTCAGGGGAAGAGGAGGAGAGACCTACGGAGTTCATGAAGGCGGAAGAAACCATGATGAGAGAAAGAAAAAACTGCTCTGAGTGTTTTGGGCTGTGGCTGCTTTAAGACCCAAGCTGCTGAGTGCATGCAGCAGGAGCTGGCAGAAGCTGGAGCTGTGCCCTTCAGATGGAGTTACTTGGAGGTGGCAGGGGAGAAGAGGCCTTGGTGGCTCCCAGGATAGCAAGACCACTAATAGTGTTCCCATGGACCCACACAGGAGAGAGGAGCAAGAACAGCTGAAAAAGGGGAGCCACTCAGAGGCCGGTGAGACATAAAGGACTGGAACAGGGCCTGTCCCATGGGAAGTGTTTGGGGCATGGGCAGTCGGGGAGACAGGCCCATTGGGAGAACACTGGAACACAGCAAGGACAGCTAATCCGCCCCCAATCAATGCAGGACCACTCAGAGGAGACTGGTCAGGAATACAGAATTGCAGGGGTGCAGTTTGACAAAAAAACTCAGGCCCAACTCAGGTGCACCAATTATCTGGAGAGCTGGAAGTACCTATAAGGTCAACCATGTAACACTAAGCTTCACAAAAAGCCTTCCCTAAGGAAACAGCAGCAAAGCAGCAATTTAGCTCAACAACACAGCCTCAAGTACTGGTTCCCACAGGATGTTCCCCCATTTTAGAAGTAAGCAAAGGACAAAAAATTAGTTCTGGCCCAGGCACACCACCAGTGCCTTGGGACCCACCAGGAGACATGAGGCATGGAGCCAGGGACTGGACCTCCCCCCAGAACCAGGCACACTGTCCCAGTACCTCGGGGCCCACCTGGGGACCCAAGGCATGGAGAAGTGGACCAGAGCCCATGTCCACAACCAGGCACACTGCCAGCATCTTGGGGCCCTGCCCAGAGTCCTGAGGCATGGAGCCAGGGATGGGACACTCCCCACAATCAGGCGCACCACCAGCACAAAGGAGCATGTCAAAAACGTCACTTCCATGTGGGTGGCCCACCATAGCCACCACAGTAACCATGGCTGCCACGAAAGTGGCTAGATGCCACAACCACCACACAGATGGTCCATCAGCCACTGGAGTTCATTGACACAAGGAGTGTCACTAGCAGATATAAAGAAAAGAAGAGGATGTCTCTCTCCACAAAGCTCATTTCAGAGTGACAGAAGAAGCATCTGCTCTATGATAATATTGGGGGACCTGATCACACCTCTCAGCATTGGACAGATCATCTAGGCAACAAATCAACAGAGTAACCATTATTCTTTTAGAAGGAGAGAAGAAATCTAGGGTAATTAGAGGGGGGAGGGAGAGGGGAATGGGGAGAGATTGGGCAAGGGTTGCATAAAGAATAATTATGATTTGTAACAATATATATGCTAGTAATATTGATTTGATCAACATATCTCAATGTTGAACCCAAAAAATATGTATAATAAATTTTGATTCAATAAAAATTAAAAAAATAAATAAATAAATAAATAGTTAAATTAAATTAAAAAAATTAAAAAAGGGTAAGGCTGGCTGGTTAGCTCAGTTGGTTTGAGCATGGTGCTGATAACACCAAGGTCCAGGGATCAATCCTTACACT